AAAACGCAAATCCTTGTCTGTTTGCCCATTCCTGGGTCCTGTTCAAAGCAATCTGGAGCTGCCTTTCTACATGTCTCATATCTGCACCTCGGCAGCTAATTTGTAGGTCATCAACATATAAAGCTCCTGGAATGGTGGGAGGATGTTCTTTTAATACAGAGTTTACTTTTAGGTTGAATTTAGTGTTACACTAAGCCCGTAGCCTTGAGGCACACACTCTTCTTGTTCAAAAACATTCAACAAAACAGAGCCAATTATTACTTGAAAAGCTCTAGCGTTAAAAAAATTCTGAATGAAAATTGGTAGGTTGCTGCTCAATCCACTCCCTGTGAAGATCCTGAAGTATGCCATATCTCCATGCCTTATAAGCTTTTTCAATGTCAAAATAAATAAATATATATATAAATAAAAAATAGAGACAAGATGGTTTCTTCTAACAAAAGCTTTTGGAATGGATGTCTCCAAAAGGAGCATGTTATCTATGGTTGTTCTTCCGTTTAAAAAAAACCGTTTTGATAAGGCAATGTAACATTATTCTTTTAAGTAAGTAGTAAACTAGGCGGCTGTTTACTGCTTTCTCAAACAGCTTGCAAACACAACTCGTAAGGGCAATTGGCTGATAGTTGGAGGGATTCCTTGGGTCTTTCCCTGGCTTAGGAATAGGAATCACAACAGTTCTTCTCCATGCACTGGAAAAATTTCCCTCCTTCTACACTATTTTAAAGAGCAAGAAGGGCAGTCAGTGACTTATTAGGCAGATGCTTCAGCATTTTGTAATTCACGCCCTCAAGACCTACGTGTCTGTAACAAAGCCCTCTAACTCAAACGTAGTAAAATCTGTATTATAAGGCTCACAGTTGGGAGAGGTAAAAGCAGTCAGATTTCTCTCAAAACGCTGCTTGATAGAAAGAAATGCAGGTGAATAATTTCTGCTGGAAGAAACTGCGGCAAATGTCTCACTGATAATATTCGCAATTTCTTCTCTAGATCTAATCACTCGGCCATCTTTTTCCAAAAAGGAAAGTGAGTGGTCTTTATATATTCCATATGCTTTTCTAACTCTTTCCCAAACTCACTTATTAGACATAGAGAATGTTATTGAATACACATAACGAAATCCATGAAACCATCTGGCTGTGCCATCTTACTTTTCGTGCATTTGCTTTGTCTCTTTTAAAAGCTATAAGGTTTTGCAAAGTAGGGTTCTACGAAAAATTCCCCATGCTTTTCTCTGTTTTTTCAGTACTTCACCACAGTTACGATTCCACCATGGTTTAGAATACCGTGTATTTTTCCTGATACGTAACATTTTTCCTGATTTCTAGGAATGGATAGCGTAACTGCCTGAATTATAACATTAGTAACCAATTCCGATGCATCTTCGATCTGCACATCTACCATTTCCTCTGTGAGCACTGCAGTGGAAGAGAAGAGTTTCCATTCACCCATATCCATTATAAGATGAGGGGATCTCGACATGGCTTTTGCTCCTCCTCGTATGAGAGATTCAAAAATGGGATAATAATCGCTGTTGTAAAGATCATTCCTGACACTAAAAGTTCAAAATGGCAACGGAGATGGTGAACAAATGGCAAGATAAACAGCGTGAAACGTCCTTGTAGGTTCATGGAAGTATGTGTCCTGCCCATTATTCAGGAGACAAAGGCAATGATCTTGGATCATCTGTTCAATTTGTCTTCCTAGAGAATTGGTGTTTTTTACTTCCTCACAGCAGACTGTGGACGTTAAAATTAAAATCCCCTGTTGTGATAAAGTGCTCAGGCAGCTGCTTTATGAGGTCATTTAAATGCTGTTGATCAACATACTCATTTGGAGGCAAGTAAAGAGAAATGACTGAAACCACAATATGCAAATTTACCCATATAGCGACAACTTGAAGGGATGTCATCAAAGGAAGTGTATCTGATGGAAAGTGATATGAGGTGAGGAGACCTACACCTCCTCTGGCACGTTCACATGGAAGATTATCTTTCCCGACAAATGAAAAACCTCCGAAGTTTTGCTTGTTGTTCTGGTTTCATGTTTGTGTCCTGTATTGCCAAGCAAACAAGACGATTTTTTTGATGTCAAGTTAATTTCGGTGGAAGTCGCGACAGTTCCATGAGACGGCGGTGGCCATTATGCTTTATAATTGTTCTTTCTGTGCTGCATTTTTGTTTTTTGTGAAAGTAGATGCTTGGGAACATCTAGCCCGTCCTGTACTTGCATACTATTTGAATCTAAAGATTCAGCTAGTATGCAAGATAGTATTCAGATAGTATGAATCTAACACTATCTGAATCTAAAGATTCGGATAGTGTTAGATTCAGATAGTAGAAGCCTTAGCAATAGCAGATTCAGATACCATATCATCAAATGAGCTAAGGCTTCTATTTTTGTTAACTGTTTTTGGGTTTACTTTGGATTGCTATTTCTTTTTTGTGTACAACATGTTTGCACAACAAGACACTCTGATATTTGAAGATATTGTAAATCTACCATAAGTAGAACAAGAACTATGGAAAAGAGCTATGGACGAGGAAATGAAATCTATGGAAGATAACGACGTCTGGGAACTATAAAGTTTACCCCCTGATAAAAGAGCTATTTCCTGCAAATGGGTTCTACGTAAAAAATGAGATTCAACTTACAAAGCCAGGCTTGTTGCTCATGGCTTTATGCAAAAGGAAGGCACAGATTATACACACACGTTTTCTCCAGTGATTAGTATGTGCTCTTTATGTTTAATCCTGGTAATTACCAATAATGAAGGTTTGCAGACTTTTACTTTAGATGTCAAGACAGCTTTCTTGAACGGTAAGTTAGATGAAATCATCTACATAGACCAGCCAAAAGGATATGATGATATGAGTGGTAAGAAATGTAAACTTTAAAGAGTTTATATGGTCTTAAACAGTCTCCTCGTCAATGGTATCAGAAATTTCTTAATTTTGTTATTAAATTAGATTTTAAGCAATTGGACTCTGAACCATGTATTTTTATCATAAATTTAAATTGTAAGAAAGTAATTATGGCTGTTTATGTAGATGACTTATTAATTGCAGGTTCAGATGTAAAAGAAACAAATATTATAATATCATTGTTGTCTAGTGAATTTCAAATGTCAGAATCCGAAAGGGTCTCAGAATTTTTGGGCATTAGACTGAAATTTGAGCCTGATTGTTTATATTTAGATCAGAAACCATATATTGAAAAATTACTCGATAAATTTAAAATGTCTGATTGTAATACAGCCCAAACTCCCATTGAACCAAAATCTACAGCAGCTGATTTTCAGAAAGGAAATGCATTTAATGGCCCATACAAAGAATTAATTGGATCTTTACTTTACTTAGCATATATTACAAGGCCAGATATTTTATTTGCAGTAAATTGCTTAAGCCAACTGCAGGAGCATAAGCTACTGATGTTGCCTGGTGTGCTCTAAAGAGAATTTTTAGGTACTTGAAAAACACCTTAAATTTAAAATTGATATACAAAAAGGGTGATTTGGAAATGGAAAACGTTTGTTTGTATGTAGATGCAGATTGGGGGGGGGGGAGAAACTCAAAAATATAAATAGGAAATCAAAAAAAATAAAAAATAAATAGGAAATCAATTACTGGTTACTTTATAATGTTTTTAACTGTCCTATTATGTGGTGCTGTAACAAGCAAAAGTGTATTGCACTTTCATCAACAGAAGCTGAAATAATTGCTTTATGTAAAGGTATTCAAGATGTTTTATGGATAAAAAATGTAGTAAATGAAATTTCCAGTGTTAAAGTTGTTTATATTTTTGAAGATAACCAGTCATGTATCAAAAGTATTGTTAATGAAAACTTTACAGATTGAAACATATAGATATAAAATTAAAGTTTACTCATAAGACTGTTAAGGAAAATAATATTAGAATTGAATATGTACAATCAGGTTTACAAATTGCAGACATGTTAACTAAGGCTTTGTCTGAAACAAAATTCTGTGAACTGTTATCATTGAGCTGTTTAAGAATTGTGTAATTCTTTTATCTTTTGTATAATGTGCGATTAAGGGGGAGTGTTGAGATATCTCTAATCTCCTTCTTACTGGTTAAAAGGAAGTATAGCTTTCTGTCACGTCCAATACATTCATTAGTTTTTGGTCAGGTCCAAATTCTTCTGAAACTTAATCCCATTCTTTATGTTATTTTTGATTAGTTATTTATTGTGTCTTGTTTATGATTTGTTAAACCATGATCTGTTGTAAAGTTATATATATGACCTCTGTAACCGCTATTGTTGCTTGTGCTTGTATTTGTTTGTGCTTATCTCTGCTTGTTTGTATTTCTTTGCATGTAACTCTGCGTGTATCTCTGCATATCTCAGTAATAAATATTTGTTTTGCGAACCGCGACATTTTCTATGTTTAACAGATCTCAAATCATGTAATAACTGCTGCTGGTATTTCTGTCTGTGTTGTCTCCTTCAGCTTGCAGGTCATCACTGTTTAAATCTGCTCTCTCACATGCAATTATCTTCAGAACCGTAAGGACCATTAGATATCCCCATTTTCTTGAAGACCTTTCATATTATTGCTTCACGAATTAGAGTCTATTTACTAGCAATTTAATTAAGTAAAGGAAATCAACCATTACATACAGAAACTAATTTTAAAATTCAAAGGCTCTTGCATTTTGAACACCATGAAGAAATTGAAAATTACGTGGCTACTTTAAAAATTTTCGGAAACTTGTGCTAAAATGCTTATGGGAATCATTTGAAAAATATGAGTAAATATGTCATATAATTAACGGAGACACGACTGGGGATAACATTAATGTACAAACCTGTTTGAAACCTAGCTGTTATTTATGTTTACCTTGTACATAAATATATTAATTTTATTGTAATCTAAATTTTATTAGACTCAGTGTAAGTTATTAGTTTAATTATTAACTAGAATTTTTATATAGTGAAAAGAATTATGAATATAATTCATTAGAATGATTTTTTCTTTCAGCATTCATCTGTAGATGATACTTAACCTACCCTAAAGTTTTCAACACTTGTTTGCAGCTGGCAAAATTCTGACCCTGAAACTGAACTGAACGCATAAACTGATTCTTAGCCTCAGCTGGAACATGTACGAGTACTTGATGAGTCCATTAATGCAATCTGAACATATGCTTTTGAATATTTATTTGGCCAAGCTGATATAAACATGCAAAATATAAAACTTTGTGATATGAAGATTTGACGAGTCAGTCACCCAGAGACATGCAAGTTATCAGGAGGTATTTTGTTACTATTGCATGTTGAGCAATATGGCACAAAATTCAGCACAGGATCTTTATATGATAAAAAAATAAAAAATTCTTAAAGTAAAAAAAATATTCTTGTTATTTGTAATTCCTTTTGCTTATTCTAATTGTTTTTAGTCTGTTTAGAAATACATATGCTTAATTTCCACGCAAAGTTGTCTGTGATTTCATTAAATATACTGGAACTGATTTTTCACACTTTGCAGTGAAACTTAATAAATCTTAAATATAATTATTCAGTGTTATAGGATTTCATTGCAAAATTCTAATGCACTGTGATTGATGCATTTCCAAATTTAACAAAATGATTAAAAATATGTATACATATTCGAATAATTTCCTGACATTAATTTTTGGCTTAATAGCAATTGTGTTTAACCATTTGATCACCTAATGAATGGGAAAGGAGTTTATAACCAAGAACAACAGAAAATATTTCTTTTATTTATTTTTGAGTTTCATCCTACTCTTTTCAAAGCTGTCTGCATTTGACCACAATATTTTAAAGAACATTTTTCTGTCTCTTAAAAATTAAACTTTTTTTTTCTCCGATTAATCGGATGCTAGATGTAATTACAAAAGAAAGTGGTAGATGTGGTTATGTGTCTTGTTCAGAATGAATACTTCAGTAAAAGTACTTCAGAATGAGTAGTTATGCAGTGATGTCACTGCAAATAAAAGGAATGAATGATTAATTAATAATTTTCACTTTAATTTTTTTTATTTCCGTTTTTATTAAGTCTTGATTATTTTAAATCATATGCAGAATTTTCTAATGTAAAATGCCTAAAACAGAATTGTCCATTGCTACCGAAACTTTTTGAATTCATTTGGAATGGGTTGCAACAGATTCGAAGTTTTTTTGCAAACAAAATCAGCAGTTTTATACTTTTTGTGTAATCTGAAATTAATGGGGTAAATCTAATTTATAATTTTTTTATTTGTAAATTTTTCTATAAATTTTACATTTAATAAAATATTTAACTTTTTCAAGTTATGTTTATTGTTAGGGATGCCATTCATATCACAAGTTAGATATTGCACAAACATTTCTGCTTGGCATAAAATGTCGAGCTAATTAAAAAAATATGCTAAATGTACATACAGGGTGTTTATAAAATCCCGGACCCAATTTGATGTTTAATAACTCATAAAATAGTGAAGATATAAACAAACTTATGGCATTTATTGATGGAACAACTTGTATATTTTCCTTTTCAGGTTGTTGAGCGTGTCAGAGAGACATTTTTACACAATCCTAGAAGATCTGCGAAATGAGCGGCAAGAGAATTGGATATGCCGATTTCGACAGTGTACAAGGTTATTATGAGAAGACTGCATGATACAAAGTTGAAATTGCTGAAGTTTAGGAACTGGACGATAGGCCTAAGAGATAGGCCTTTGCAACAGATATGCTAAGGAGGATAGAAGATGATGTTGAATTTCTGAAGGGCATAATGTTCTCCGACGAAGCATCCTTTCATCTTTCTGGCATTGTTAATCGCCATAATGTGCGCATATGGGGATCTGAAAATCTTAGTGAATACTGTGAGGCGCAAAGGGATTCCCCAAATGAGGTTAATGTGTGGTGTGAACTAATGCACGACCGAGTCATTGGGCCTTTCTTTTTTACAGAAAAGACGATCTCATCTGTCGTATACTTAGACATGTTGCAAAACTTCGTATTTCCACAACTGGAGCTTTAGCCACTTCTCTTTTTGCAACAAGATGGTGCACCACCTCATTGGGGTACCATCGTTCGTAGTTGTTTGAATGACCATTTTACAGGAAGATGGATTGGGCAAGGAGGTCCAATTCCTTAATCACCCAGATCACCTGGTATAACGCCGCTGGACTTTTTTCTTTGGGGATTTGTAAAGGACAACATTTACAGGAGGAGAGTGTCAAACATTGATGACCTAAAAGCCAGAATTACAACTGCAATAGCATCTGTCGATGCCGACATGCTTGGTGGAACCTGGCGTGAAATTGAATATCGACTTGATATTCTCTGTGCGACGAAGGGGGCACACGTGAAAGTTCATTGACAAGGGTCATGAAACTTTTTGAGTCTATCTAACCATTTATGTTATTAATTTTAATCTGTCTTTATTATTTTATGAGTTATTAAACATCAAAATGAGTCCGGGACGTTATAAACACCCCATATTTTAATACCCATTCATTTTTTTCTATTCATCAAGAGCTGCATTTAATCTCAGTATTTTAAATTCTAGTTTTACATTAATTTAGTAAAAAAAAGATGCAGAATAAAAAAAAGTAGCCAAGCAAAAAAAATGGATTATATTGAATTCCTAGAATTAAAATTAGATGTCTTCTAACTTGCATTTTATAAAATGCATATAACTTAATGCCTTGTCAAAATTCAAAGACTTCTAAAGCATAGCTGAAATATCTACTGATACAAAAATATTTTTAGACATTACAGGGCAGTTTTCAAATTAAGGGCTCTTGGTAATTCATGTTCGGGTTTTAAAAAGCATCAGACAGTAGGCTGCTGTTCCTGAGGTGCTAAAAAAATAGTTATGTCTACTCGTCCAATTTTATTCCGGTTAGCTCATACGCCATAGAAACACTAAATGACGTACTAGTTGCGCAGAGACGCATTTATAATTTCTGCGCTTTCGGACCAGTCGTGAAGAAATGTATCTTTACATTTATGTTGATTATAGAAGAGTTATTTGTTTTTCCATGTAAAGCTAGAATGACAAAGAGAAGGTTTTTGTTATTTCATTTATTAAATAATAGCTGTCATTCTTCAATTGATATTTAAAAATTTCTACAAAATAAAAAACTATAAATATATCTGAGTATAGTTCTTATTTTAAATTCCTAATAATTGACCATTTTATACAGATACAGAGTTTACACAAATAATGAGAATTCCTTGAAATTCTAATCAACAAATTAACATAAATCATGCATGCAAGCAGTAAACTCACATTCTTCTGAAACGAAATTAAAAAGCAAAATAATCTTAAAACTTTTTGTAACATTTTGATCATGTGTAGCTAAATATTTTTATAAAATTTCATATAGAAGCATTATATATATAAGGAGAGCGAGTGTTCAGGGAGTTTGATAAGAGGAGTTTTCTGAAAAGCTGTTAACAAACCACCCCGCTCTTTAAAAAAACAGAAGTTTACAACTATTTTTTTATCATAATTTTGGTTCTTGAGCAAAATTATGTATGCAGTTTGCTTTAAACTTTTAGACAGAATTAAATTTTAATATAAAGGCATGAAAAATTTTGACCTTTTTGATATAATATTGTGTACTTAATTTGTAAAAAATACAGTTGACTCTCTCAACTTCTAATTAATATTTAATATTGAAAAGCAGGAGGGGGAATAATACAAAATTATAATAAAAATATCTCTAGGTATTTCTTTATAAATATATATGACTGTCTACAGACTCTGAATATATAATCTAATTGCTTAAATGGCTTATGCAGTAGTATTTGTTTTATTATCATATCCTGCCCCCGTAAGTTAAAAAGTAAGATATTGTACGGGAACACAGAAAGTCAGTTTTACCTCCAAATATGTTTGATGATATTGAAGTATGATGAGAGGTGATTATTTTTGGCAGAAAAATTATAATATTATGAATATTTTTTAAGCAAAATCTTTTCCTTTAAAAAATATATCTTTATTCAAAACTATTCAAGCAATAGATAGCAGCATTATGTTTCATCATTTATGTGAGCTTTGTCAAAAGAACTGATAGATATAGGATCAGAGCACCTAATTTCTTGTGTAAGAACTTTATTTTGAATGTCCCTTTTTTCTTTCTGTTTCCCTGTAAAATTTTACCTTTATACTACTTAGAGATATGAAGTCTAAAATACTTGGCTTAAATGCAGTTTTTAATGAAAAATCTAAATATGGAAGTCCGAGAGATATTTGTATATGGATAGAGTAAAATATTAGTAAATTATACATAGGTACATTATTAATGTAACATAATGTATTTAAAAATATTCAGTTTAATGCAAAAATGTGGATCAATTTAATGACATTAATTTTATGTGTCTGACTTATGTTGGATGTTTGAAGTAAACATTTCAAAAAAAAAAAAAAAAAATTTAACCTTTTCATCAACTTATCTTACACTTGATCTTCATTATAAAGTAATGTCACAAGCCAAACATCCTGTCCGACTCATGACATCTGATCACTACTGGCGTATCTACCAAACACGTTGTGATATTTCTTTTGGCAATGTGAAGCAACTCCATTGATAGAACACAGAAAAATCTTAATTTAGCACTCAAAATGGCGACATGCAAAACAAGAAAAAGAAACGAATTCCAATACTTAAAAATAAATTACATTCTTCCTGCGAGAGTCGCATGTGGCACACGAGCCTGCGTTTCAAACATTGCCATTCACATATACTTTAATGTTCATCTAATTAACTTACTTATTCTAAACTACAAGATTTTAATAATATTTAAAGCTGTTACAACCTGTACCCCAACAGAGAGATTTTTCCGAAGGGAAAAGTTCTGTAAAATTTGAAAGTTTATAAGCTGAGCTTGCTCAAATGCTTAAAGAGAAAAGGTAACTTCTCTCCTAAGTTTGCAAATTTCAGGCGAAACATTTTAAGTTTTAAACAAATACTTTTACACCACATTTGAATAGAAAAAATGGAGAACGTTCAAATACATCAGTAGAGCATACATTAAACAATAAAATAAATTCTAAACGTGGTTACATACACTAAGAGTTATTATATTACTTAATTCTACTCAGAACATCTAGGTTCTTGTGCAAAGGTCCTTTGCGAAGAATGACCTTAAAATTATAAGGTTCTAATGAGAATGCCCAGCACATCAATCTAGAGTTACATTTGGCGTTGGATTGTAGCCAGACCAAAGGGTTATGATCAGTTTGAATCAAGAATTCTTGCTGATCATCCAGATAAAAATGCAGTTTCTTGATAGCATAGATGATAGCAGCGCACTCCTTTTCAGAAGTACAATAATTCTTTTCGAATTTAGTAAACTTTTTGCTTATATACAAGATAGGATGTTCATCATCTAATTGGCATACTACTATACCTATGCCATTGTTTGAAGCATTGGTTTGTATAACAAACCTTTTATCAAAGTCGGGAGCATACAGAATTTGTTTCTTGCATAGCAACTCTTTTAAATTTTTAAAAGCTTTGTCACATATTTCATTTCCTTTTTTTTATTTTTTTTTTTACCCTCTTCAAAGCGTCCGTGAGGGGCAAAATTCCAAACCCCCAAATCTCGTGTTACGGGTGATAATCTACCCTACTAGTCCTAAGAAAGCACGTACTTCTGTTTTGGGTTTTAGGTGTAGGATACTCCTTTACAACCATGATCTTTACATTTTTTAATACAAAGGGTAAAT